TGTGTGTTCAGTAAAGATGCTACTGTCTTTGGCCTCCCCATACAGTACATGAAGGTGGCTTGAGGCAGACAATATTCCAACTGGAGTTCTAAAGAGAGTTTCACGGATCAGAGTAGTGCTCGGTGTGCACCAAGTTTAACTTTTTCTTTTTGGAATTCTTTTTGATCTGTGGTTGGCTGAATCCACAGATGTGAAACCTGCAGATAAAGAGGAATGACACTATTTTCATAAGACTGAGGCCTGGGCCAGGGATTTGGCTCAGTGGTTTCGCCACCTGCCTTGCAAGTGGCAAGGGTCCAAGTTTGATCCCTGGTACAAAAAAAAGATTGAGGCCTGGATTTATATAACATCATGTTTATAATAATAAAATAAAATATTAATAAAGTATATTTTCTTCATAGAAAACAAAATACCAAATGAATATCTCTTGGCAAATATTATCTACATTTCAAAGGCAGAAAAAGTGATACAAAGAAACAGGATGAAGGAAGAGCAGAAAATAAAACCTCTATGTCCTCATTCTCAGGCAAGGGGATACTCACTTATGGTTACAAAGCCCCAGGCAAGTAAAGTGTTCTACTCCACAGGAGCAGACAGAATGACCCCCTTGACAGGGGATCCCCTACCCCGTAGCCCATACCCTAAAAGAAGCAGCAGCTCTGCACAGGCAGGCAATACACAAGCAAGCAAAGACTATATCCCACGCATGAAATCAAAGTGAGAAACAGACTCACAGAAAAGCTAAGGAGGGATCATTCAAATCTATAATACTGACAAATTAAAATTTGAAATGGGACCTGGATAGGAGTAATCCAGAAATGATTTCAAAAGAAAACTTAAAGGAACTAGAAAGGTTTATCCAAGATAAAATTATCTTTAAATATCTACAGCAGTGTCAGGAAAGAAAGAAAAGAATTAGCCTATATTCCAAAGAGGATAGGATGGATTAAAAAAAATGACATTTATACCTAAACCCAAAGGCGTCATATCTTAAAAAATGACTGTTACTGTATTATCTAAACTCTGGATTAACATGCTGAGATGAGGGGAAAATGATTTGGGTTTATCTTAAGGGGGGAAAAACCCTATACAACTCAAGTTGATCAATAATGAACAGGGCTTCCTTGAACAACTGGGACTTTCACAACAGTTTCTTACACAACAGCACCACCCTTTCTAAAAGGGCACGTGAGCATCAGGAATCCTCAAAGAGGAAGAGATGCTAACTTCCTGGAGAAAGTTACACTCTAAATCTTCTTCTCATTTTAAGTTTTTATTATATTTTGAAATTTGATATGTCATCAAAACATTTTTATTCTGATTTCAGACTACCTGCAGACAATAATGGTTCATTATTTTGAAACAGAAATACGCATGGCTCAGGGAGGATCATAATAAGTAAGGAGTGGAAGGGTTCAAAAAGCCTTAGCTAATTAAGACATCTAGTGATGAGCTAATGACACACTTGTTTGAATGATGCATACTTTAGGAAGACCAGACTATCAAAGATTTTATGCTAGAAAAGTAATCAAAATAATTATCTTGAAAAGAAAAGGTAGGGTAAGATAATTATAGTTGTTACACTGTTTATAAATTTTAGTCAGGCAAACCCTTACAGAATCACAGGTTAACATCGGGGTTTAAACAAATTATGAACATGGCAAAGTAGATAATTAACTGATTAGAAGGAACAAATCTTATCTAAATTCTTGAGAAGTATATTTGCTCTAGTTTTAAGATTTTAGACAATCTGAGTCAGGCTTTCTTTTTCTTCTTAAATCCAGAATGCCAACTGGTTGATATAAAGGGAATGAAAGTAATTTAAATTTGAGTATTGCTTGGCTCAGAATAATTCTGCTATCATAAGCAATATACTTCTCTCTCCAGGCAGACCAGCAATGGAAAGGAAAATTATAAAAAGAAGATGCTTGTGTATGTGGAGTAAGAACGATGGGAATTAGAGAAGCCATCATTTATTGCCGTTAGGCTAAGGCCACCCTTGCCACCTGTCACCATGAAGGACACGATTTTCCAACTGGATCCAAATTCTCAAGACTATGGCCAAGGTCTCCTATAATTCTGAGGCATTTTCAAACTGTCAAAAATCTATTTAAAATAAAATTGTATTTAGAATTTTTCATAACAGGTATAATTTAACTCTAAATTTATAAAAAAATTCCTGTTAACTTAATTTGGGCATTACATAAATTGAAATACTTAGAAATTATTTAGTTCCTATGCTATTCTGATCTATATTCTGATGTTATATATATTCAAATTTAAATTTTACTAATGTATAGTTGGTATGTAATAAACTTCCTACATGACGTATAGTTTGATAAGTTTAGACATATGGATATACCTTTGAAACTATTACAATGAAAATATAAATATATCTGTTACCTTCCAAAGATTTCTCATGTTCCTCTGTGATCTTTCCTGTCACAGTTCCCCAGCAACTGCTATTTTGCTTTCTATCTCTATGGATTGTCTTTTCCAGAGTTGCAATCATACAGTGAACACTGTATCACCTGCAGTCTTCCATGCAGTGTAATTACTGTGAGATTCACCCATGTTGTACATATTAATCAATCATATATTTTTCCTCCTAAGAAGTAGTCCATTTGTATAGATAAACCACAAACTGTTTAACCACTTATTTGCTGACAGACGTCTGGGTTATTTCCAGGTTATGCTTTTACAAGTAAAGTTGCTGTAAATATACGTGTACAAGTATTTATATGGACATGTTTTTATTTTCCTTGACAATTATCTAGGAGTAGAATGGATGAATCACACAGCAGGTGTTTAACTTTTGACAAAACTGCCTATTTTCCGAAGTTGTACCATTTTACATTTTCTCCTGCGTTGTAGGAAAATACCAGCTTCTGCACATCTTTATCAGCACTTGGCACAGTCTCTTTAAATGGTTAACATTTTAGTGAGCACATAGTGCTATTTCATTGTGGTTTTAATGTGTATTTTCTTAAAGGCTAATGATGTTGATCATCTTTTCATTGGCTTATTTGCTTGCCCACCCACATATCTTCTCTGGAGAAATGTCTGTGCAAATCTTCTGTCCCTTTAATAATGAGGGTGTTTGTTTTCTTAAATTTTCAGAGTTCTTTGTATATTCTGGATACGAGTCCTTGAAAAGATACGTACCTTAAAGTTTGACCCTAATTGGAGGCTTGTTTTTTCATTCTCATAACAGTTTCAAAGAGCAGAAATATTTAATTTTGATGTAGTCCAATTTACCACTTTTCTTTTATAAGCTGTCCTTTTGTGTCACATCTAAGAAATATTCACCTAACTCATGCTCACAAAGATTTTAAGTTTTCTTCTAAAATTTTTAACATTTTAGGTTTTAAATACACATTACCTATGATACACTTTGCGAAAATTTTTCTATATGGTAGGAATATGTAACTCCATTTTTTTCCATCCAGGTATCAATGGTTCCAACACTGTTTCTTGAAAAGGCTACTGCTTTCTTCACTAAAGTGATTTTTGCACCTTTATAAAAAAATCTATTATATACATGAGCATAGTTCAATTTCTGGACTGTATTGTGTTCCATTTGTCATTTATCTATCTTGATACCAAATCTACAGTGTTTTAATTGCTATCACTTATAAGTTTTGAAATGAACTTTGTCCTATTTCTGCAAAGGTCATTTGGTTTGCCACTTGAATTGTGGAAGCAGGTTGTAAGTTTCTACTGAAGAGAAAAAGGATGCTGAAATTGTGACTGTATTGAATTTACAGATCAATTTGGAGAAAAACAACATCTTAACTGTTCTGAGTAGCTCCTTCATGTGTGTGTTTATCAATATTCAACTAACTATGCCTGCAAATCTCTGCCCTTCCCTCTGTGCAGCTCTCTTCTCTGACACTCTGGCCTGCAAACTCTAGCTGCTTTGGGCTTCCTGGACTTCCAGTTTCATCTCAGTTGTACCTGGGCTTCCCCTACCTATCTTGCAGCCTGGGAACTCTTTGAAGGCTGCTATCTGGGGCAATCACAGGGCTCATTACATTAAATTTAGGCCTCTCAAGAAGCACTGTTCTTGGGGCTGGAGATTTAGCTCAGTTGTTTTGCCACTTGCCTCGCAAGCACAAGGCCTTGAGTTTGATCCTCAGTACCAAAAAAAAAAGAATCACTGTTCATTGTCAGATAACCAATGTTCTCAATCTGTGGTTTCACGTATTTTGTCCATTGTTAAAATCTTGGTTGAATGACTAGTTGGCCCCTGTTATTCTATCTTTATTAGAAGTCCAATCTCCACTTTTAATTTTTAATGACAAATCTGTTCTTGATGTTATAAAATTCAAGTAAAAATGAGACAAAAACATAAACAGTAATTAGTATAATGCTGCTCACTATTCATTCCCTGGTTCATTAGTTCATTTTATACCCCAAGTATTTATGGGATTCTATTTAGTCAGTACTGGGGTATCAAAGCCAGATATGTCCCTTGCTCTCACAGAGCTTATAGTCTAGTGGGACAGACAGACATTAATAAATAATTATAAACAAAAAATGTGATGCTGTGACATTTGCTATCAAAGAACAGAACAATGCCAGAGAACCTGGGTATTTGTTTATAGAGCCTACATTCATAAACTGCAAATAGCATTACTGTTTCTTTAAATTAAAGTCACAAAGAAGTTGTATTATATACACAAGGAATCAGAAGTATTTATTATATAAACTTCTCAGCACATGATGTACCTAGCAGTAGGTATGAGACAATATGCTAAGTGCTTTGGAGTACAAAAAAATTACAACATTATCCCTGTAAAATTTGAGATCTAATTTAGTCCATAAAGTACAAAAGAAGAGGAAAGTTGTATTTATATCTTGTATGAATATAAATGAAAATTTACCAGTTAAGTAACATTGTGTCTATCCCTGTTTTAAATTTTTTTCATCAGCCTAACTGCAAAAATGTGATCAGTTCCATTGAGAAAACAACACCTTTTTTTCATATAAAGTCTTACCTAGATATCTCAGCTTGGGAATTTTTTTCTCCATCAACAGTGAAAGGAGATGCTCCGGTTAGTAACTCGTACATTAGAACACCTAAACTCCACCAATCAACTGCCTATAAAACAATAATAATTTCATTTTGTAGAGTTATCAACTGAAATATATTTTACAAGAAAAAATGAACAAAATAAAGCTAAATATTTGAAAAACATTTTACCAAGTAGGTTGTGTACAAAGCTTTCTGTGCAAGGATACTAAACTAGCATATGCAAGAAAGACACTTAACAAATATCCTTAGCCTTAGCAGCAACAGAGTTTTAATCATCTCCTAAACTAGTTACAGTTTTTACCTTTTAATCAAACATTTTTATCTTGAAATAATTTTTTTCTCTTTTTCGTTTTTTTGAGACAGGATCTTGCTTTACAGTTCAAGGCTGGCCTTGAACTCAGGATGCAGCCCAGGCTGACCTTGAATGTGTGGCAATCCTCCTGCCTCAGCCTCCTGAGTACTGGGATCACAGGTATGTGCCACCATGCCTGGCTTAAGTTTTCATTAATTTTAAGTTGGTGAAAATAGTTGGATTTAGGATAGGGGGAAAAGTGTCAATCAGCCTTTTTATTAAACATTCAGGTACAAAGAATCATATGAAATTCCTTAATCACAGAAAAAATTTAAAAATCTCATTCAGGGTTATTGTTTTTATAATCTCCAAAGTCAAATTCACTTGTAGAACCTAACAAAAATCTGAAAGTATTCACTGATGGAAGGGTACATTAACAGAAAATAAAATGTGCTCTAAAGTGGTAATCCATTTATGAATGCAGTTGTTTGAACTGAGACCATAATGAATTATCAATGACTTAAAGCATTTTGATATATTTAAAATTAGCCATTTTGTAATTAGGCAAATCAAAATTTCAGTAAGTTGAATATATGAATCTATACCAATGAGAAATACCAACTGGTTGATAAAATTTTAAATCATCTGCCTCCAAATTCCAGGATCAAAGTTTCAGAGCTAAAGCAAAGTATGAACCTAGAATTATTTTAAAGAAAATACAGAATACTGAATATATAAAATAAGATCAGGCAGATTGAAAGCATGAGAGAAAAAATATTTATTGAATGCTTCCTTCATACTAGGCACTGTGATAAGCACTTGGCATTCATTACCTCATTTAATTCACTCAAAGTTATTAGGTGTTCCATGTTTGAGAAAGAACACTGACTAGCTATATCCTGTGCCCTAGGTATATAGAAATTGTAGTATTAATATGAGGTTTTCTTATCTGAAAATTAGCCTCATCACATCTCAAAAGATAATGGTCAAATTTTAAGGTACAAATTCCTCAATCACTTCAAAGAATACCATGAAACAAACTAAACCCATAATTTCACTCTACTCCTCACAGTGGGGACTCCACTGCATTGACTCAGGGTGCTCAGAATGAAGCACTGTTGGCTTGAAGCCTTGCTCTGAGGCAGGTAAATACATGGTTAGTCATTAGAAAGGAGAACAAAGATTCTCTGCAGCCAGGCATTTGGACTGCACATGTAGCCTTCTGGAAGAGGGTGAGGGAGATGAGAAGATGAATAAAAAAGCCAGAATTTCTTATTTGGAGAAAGTTATTGATAAAGGAAAAATGTTAAGACTGAGTAAATTTTTTTACCCTCTAATACGGCAAGGAAAAAAAGACTTGATTTTGTAACATAATTACTTAGAAAACTTCTTCTAAAATCTTCATTTTTCACATACAAAGGGGAGGGAAAAGGCCAAAAAATTGAGCTTTTTAGAAGTTTAGGAAAGGAGACAAGCTTGAACATAGAATTTTTTTCTTCTTGCAAGTGTTGTTAAATGTTTATTTTTGTTGGGGAATCAACAAAGTCATCAGTATTTCCATAAAGTTAAAAGCAGAAATTGGGAATAAGAAAATAAGAGTGATTCCCTTTCCAAAGATCTCTCAAAGACCAATTAGAGAACCGATAGTAACTAAAGATGGTACATATGACTATATATTTCTGTGTGTCCTTCTACCAGAAATTAGCCATATCAATAAAGCACTGTCAAAAGTCATTCACCAAGACTGAGACAGGCAGAAGGTATACAATTTATATATTCCACAACATCTCTGTACTGCACTGCACTGCAGTTCAGTTGAACCCAAAAAGACCAAGCTTCCATGCAACAGAAAAAGAATGACTTCTTAAAAAACTGAAGTCATAGTTGGCACTTTGCTTAAGCTATGGGCCCATTTAATGGAAATAGATAAAAACTATTTGAAGAATTAGCTTTGAAGTTTAAACTCCAAGTAGAGCGTTATTCTATAAAAGAAATAAAAATTCTCACCAAAACAACCTTAAAAAAGAACTCTAGAGTGTCATAACTTTTCTATTATCTTTTTCCTCTAAAACTCTAGTGCTCATAAATGTGTTCAGTTATACAAAATAAAAGAGAAAAACACCACCTCCAGCAAGAGGGTTCTGTTGAAGACTGTACCTAGTTATCAAGTGGGATCCTTATGATACACTGTATGGAAATAATAGAAGGAAGTACCAAAATTAGAACATACCTTGTCATGTCCCGAATCTCCCCCTCTGACAATATCTGGTGCCATGTATTCGATAGTTCCACAAAAGGAATATGCTCTTTCAGTCTTGAATAAACAAACAAAAAAGGTGTTTGATTTCAAGCTAGCATGACAAGTGCCCAAAGGAGAAAGTTAATAATACAGGTCACTAGTTGAGACAAAAAGCAGTGGTAGGGATCTGCTTGACAGGCCCTTTCTTCACCAGGACAAACCATCACCTACACAGTGTGAGTTCGGGGTAAGCGTCTTCTCAGAAGGACTTCTCATGCCTGGAACTCTACCACCATCCATCCATCCATCCATGAGTCCATTTATTCATGCGTCTTCATTTTCTTGTTTATCTTTTGGCATATACATATTTCAGTTATTGGTTTCTTTAACCACTCATTTTTTTTTTAGGAATGCATACCGTCCCAAGAGGTTAACATGAATTGTCTAATACTTTGGTAGGAGTGATTTTATTTCCAGGTAGGTAGGACTGGAAAAACACTGGGAAAATTGAAGGAGGAAGATCAAATGCTGAGGAAGAACAAGGAACTAAAAAATGAAAAGAGGATGAAAAAATTTTCTTTTTCTACCTAATCATCTTGCATAGGTTTGGTACTATTAATGGTATATTTAAGAGATGATGAACAAAATTGTCTTTAAAAAGTCAGACTGTGTCTTAAGGATAGTTGTTTCTCTTTCACAGAACTTGAAAATTCAAAAGGGCTAACTTAATATATCAGGCCTAAAGGTTAATTTAAAAAATTTAACTGATTTTTTTAAATGACCCACTAACTCATCCCAATGTAATAAAGGAAAATAAATATGTAAGCTGTTATATATACATTTTGAATAATGAAAAGTGAATTCCTCCTTAATACATGTTCATATGGCTATCTCTGAAACATTCAAGGGTAGTTTGGCGCCATTAAAATATTTCACAAGACTATTTTACAAAATGAATATTTCTTACAGAAAGCTTTCTAGTTTACATTTTATTCTTTCATTAGCAAGATTTTAAGAAAAAAATTCCTTTTTATTACCATTTTTAACAAAAAAGATTAATGTCACAAGAGTGGTAGAAATCCTATTTTATTGACTCAACATCAAACAAGCCCACAGAGATGACTGTAATGCATTCATTTAAACACAATTTAAAACTATTAATTGAAATATATACACACATAAATAAAAACAAAAGTAGTATGGCTTATGATTAATTTCCTTTTTTGTAACAATCTGTATACACTGAAAGATTATTATTGCCCCTATAAACTAAAATAAATATTCAAATATGCCTAGTATAGGAAATTTTCTTTTTTGTTGGCTGGTAGAATAATGCTATTGAATAGTTCATATAAATCATATATCACATGTCATTTTCTCTCTGCTTTATCACATCAGGAGTAAATGCAAATGCTGTGTAAACTACTGAAATGTCTGATGTTAAATAAATTGATTTGACTTAAATTTGTGTACAAAAGGCAATGAATTTTAAACATTTTATTGGACATGATCAGACAAAAGAATGAATATTAGGAAGCATTCATCCATTCACTGAATTATTAAAAGAGAAATACTTCAAAATAAATTTTAAAAACCTCCAAACTTCTTAAAACTAAGTGCTTTTAATAAATACATTACTTATTATGCATTAGTTCCTTTCAGATTTAAGCAAAAATCAATGTATAATGAAAATATAGAATCACATAAAATTTACTTGTCACTTGATGTCATCTTCAAAGATACCTTTAAGAAATTGTTTAAACATCCTACCCTGAATCGAGTTTTGCTATAATAAAAAAATAATAATTCTCTAAACTATGAATAAAAAAATGAAGAGTTCTGAGGTGTTGCTTTTCTAATTTTTATTTATAAAACGAATACAAATATAAATTTCATTTAGCCAGCTTCAAGTCACATATCTTGAGATTATGTAAATTTTTTTCGCAGTAGGAGACAATGATTAAAAATTTCAAATTAAAACTCATGAAGGGCTGGGGATTTAGCTCGCAAGAACAAGGTCCTGAGTTCGATTCTCGGTACAAAAAAACTCATGAAAATCTGGAGTCTCTTCCCCAAGATACTAGATATTTCTCAATAAGTTTGGTTTTTAAAGTATATTAAATATATATATATTATTTATTTTAACTAATTCAGAGCCCAAGGAAAAAATAACAATGAGTGTTAAAATAACAATGGAAATATTAACAATAAGAACTTGTGGAATATAACTAAAAGCTGTTCTTAGAAATCCATAGCTTTATTTAAAAAATATTAAACATATGTGAGCTAGGTGTCCAATTCCAAAGTTTAGAAAAATGACAAAAGAAACAAAGTAAAAGGAAGAAAGGAACTGGTCAAAGAAATGGAGAAAAAAATTGATACATCCGACAAACACTGTTACAAAAGACTAATAAAATTGACAAAACTAGAAAATTTATCAAGGCAGTAGGAGAAAGGTAAGAGGAATGTCTTACTATAAAGCTAAAGGCTTTAAGATATTTTGATTTTGATATATGGAGAAGCAAAGTGACAAATGGAATTAATGGATGGCCTAGAAATAGACTCATGAGAACACATACCCTGGTTGTATAAGTTGTATTTCCAGTCATCAGACAAAGAAAGAATTAACTGAATGAGCACTTAAAAGGGAATTGGGTTATCTACATAAAAAAATAAGACTCCCACTTTATACACTAAGAATAAGACCAAAAACTATGGAACTAAGAAAACATGGGGGAGAGCTGTGTGACTTTGGACGTAGCAGTGAATTTTTTGGATATGACACCAAAAGCACAGTCAATGAAACCAAAGACAAAACAAGTGGGGCTATATTAAACTCAAAAACTCCTGTAAATTGAAAGAAACAGGCTGAAAAGGAACCTACAGAATGGGAGAATTTATTTATAATCATATATTTGACAAAGAATTAAAGAACTTCTAAAAAAAATCAACAAAGAAACGACCTATCAAAAAGTAAGCAAAGGACTGACAGGCATTTCTCCAGATAATACATGAATAGCTAATACCATATAAGAAGACACTCAACATCACTAATCATTAGAGAAATGTAAATCACAATTACAATGAGATACCATGGTACACACAGTAGGATAGCCACTATAAAAAGACAACAGAAAGTAACAAGTGTTGGCAAGGATACAGAATGCCTGGAATCCTTGTGCATTTTTGGTGGGAATGAAAATGGTGCATCTGCTATGGAAAACAGCATGGAGGTTCCTCAAAAAATTAAAAATAGATTTCCAATATGATACAGTAATCTCACTTCCTGGTATATACCCAAATCAGGATCTGCAGGTATCTGTAGAACCAATATTCACTGCAGCATTATTAACAGCAGCTAAGAGGTGAAAGCAATCCAAATGTCTATCAAAGAATGAATGAATAAAGTGTGTGTGTGTGTGTGTATATATAAGGAAATCTTGTCACATGCTACAACATAGATTAACTCTGAGGATATTATGCTAAGTGAAATAAGCCAGTCACAAAATGATATATGCTATATGATTCCACTTACATGAGGCATCTAAAACAGTCAAATTCAGACACAGAAAATAGAATGGAGGTTGTTAAAGGCAGAGAGAGGGGGAAGTGAGTTGTATCTCATGGGCATTGAGTTTCAGTTTTACAAGATAAAAAAGTTCTAGACAGCTGTTGTACAACAATATGAATGTCATGAACATTACTCAATTATAGACTTAAAAATGGTTAAGACAGTAATTTGACAATAATCAAAAGTTAAAATGATTTGGGCAGGGGATTTAGTTCAGTGGTTCTAGCGCCTGTCTCGCAAGCACAAGGATCCGAGTTCGATCCTGGTTACCAACCAATCAACCAATAAACAAACAAAACTTAAAAGATTCAATGAATATAAACCCTAACAGAAAAATTAGATCTAATGATAGTAAAATGTCAATCTGACAATAGAAAGAAAAGGAAGACTACTGAAAAAAGTTAAAGATTTGGCACAAAGATTTGAAAAAGAAATTCAGAAAATATACAATTATGGATGAGTGTCTAGAATAGTTAAAGTATGCCAACAAATCAATAACATGAGAAAAAATACAACACTGTGATAGAGAAAACACAGAAACAACTTAAATTTATCTCACTAGAAGAATAAACGCATATAAAAGAATATTATTCAGCAGCATAAATAAAACATTTCAACTTGAACAAGTTCCAAAAAAAAAAAAAAAAAAAA